AGGAAGGAAGGAAGGAAGGAAGGAAGGAAGGAAGGAAGGAAGGAAGGAAGGAAGGAAGGAAGGAAGGCAGGAAGGCAGCAGGCGAAGCACAGCACAGCAAAGCAGCCTGTGCCTATAACCCTAACTCTACCAGTAGGTAAAAGATTAGTAAAGCCTTGCTTGCCAGTTAACCTAGCTCATTGGTGAGCTACAGTTAAATGAATAGACTCTGTCTCAAAAAATAACACAGAGATACTCAATGTCAATCTCTGCCTCTCCACACTCCCTCACACACATCAATATACATTACACATACATAACACTTACCACACAAACATACACCACACAAACATATACTATACAAACACCCACACCCACTACACTCACATATCACACCACACACAAACACCCCATATATCATACACATAACACAAACACACGCACACACTAACTCACAGAGGGACAGGCAGGCAGGCAGAAGACAAACTCTCACTCATACAGGCCAGTGAGGAAAAGGCACAACGAAAACACATAGCTCCTGAGTGAGCTGCCTACCAGGAAAAGATCAAAACAGAGGGTCTCTCTACCGGCTGCTACTGAAATTCTCATTCATACTTGCCTGCAAAGGCTTTCTGACAGGAAATATTTCTGAGCATAAATATCAAACATATTTCTAACGAACCCAGTATCTGGCTCCTCAGGTCAGAACTAATCTATTAAAATGGAAGAGGAAACCAGCTGTTTTTGAGGGATCATTATTAATCAGCAGCAGAAGACTAAACAGAAGAAACAATAGACCAACATATAAGCCTTTGAGGTCTTTATTCATCTTATATAAGGCTATAGCTCGCACTACAAAACTCTCCTAAACTACAGTTTCTACATCACTAAGGAGAAGAGGGATAGTGCATGTAGTAGTTTGAGAAAGGGAATACATAAGGTTTTAGAAAACACTTCTTTGAAATTAAGATCCTAGGTATTTGGAAAAACCAAGCTTTGTAGAAAAGTTTGAAAAATGACAGGTAAGAGAAGGAGAACTAAGTCCTATGGACTCCTTAGGGCAGTGCTTGCTGCAGATGGCCCTTCCCTCTCACTTGGCCAGAGGCTGGGGAGGTGTCTGTTAAAAGACACACACACAGCTGCCTTTCCTGCTCTGGTGACAAGACAGGCTGCACACTGCTGCTAAACCTGCAGTCCCAGGGCCAGAAGCAGCATGCCCCAGGAGCCTTTAGGGAATTTGGAATCATAAGATTCTGGAGCACACCTGCATTTTAACAAGAACTTTCCCACAGTGTGCATGGCACTGAAGTTTGAGAAAGACTTCCCCAAAGATCAGGTTCAACACCCACCAACATAGTACCTTCAATTCAAATAGATGAGCAAACAACTCAAGATAATTTAATCTAGTTTGAACCAAGAATTTAACATCTCCTATCTTGTTCTGAAGTTCTCCTGTTCTGATTAATGGCGCCATTCGAGGATCCAGGTGAGCAGCCAGCCAAGTCAGAGAGTCTAGGCGTATGGCTCTCTGGAAAAGAAGTTCTAGTCCAGACTCTCAGAGGTCAACAGCAGGTTTCAAAAATATCAAGCAGACTAACCAGCCAAGCCTTAAATAATCAACCCTAATTCTGTCTCAGAAAGCTAGCTGTGCATACTGGCATCATCAGCAACCAAGAAACGGTTCCATTTTGGCTAAGCCACTTAACTGCCAGGGCATGGGAGGGGGCTCTGACATCCAGTCAGTCTTTAAGGAACAGTGAGGTGTTTGGAAGGGCATTTCTCCAACAATGCTCAAACCAGTTAGAATCATATTTTTATACTCTGGCTTAGAGCAGAGCATACAGATCAAAAGAGTTGAAAATAAAAAGCTCAACCTGATTGTTTCTATTTTATTCTTTATGTTTTGGTGTTGCTCTTGATACAGCCAATCCTTCTAATGACTGGTTTGAGGAACTGGATTATTTGGTGGGATGCCTACAGCTTAACATCCAAAGCTTTTTTCTAGCAAAAACTTAAGACTAGGGACTATCAGGAAAAAAAAAAAAAAAGATGAGTACACAAGAAATCCACCAAACTGCATGGAAAAATCACAGTGTGGGACAATGCTTCTGAAAAGACAACAGCTTTCAACTGACTTTCTGAGTAATACATAACCCAGGACACAGGAAAACAGAGCCACAGCCCTTTAATCCACTTCCTCATGCTATGGTGACCCCAACTATACAAGTATTTTCATTGCTACTTCATAACTGCGATTTCACTACTGTTGTGAATCTTCATGTAAAATCTGTTTTCCAATAGTTTCAGGCAACCCCTGTGAAAAGGTCATTCAAGCCCCCAAGGGGTCACGACAGGTTGAGAATAACCGCAGTAAAATATAAAGGAAAAAAAAACCAAGCTTGTATGAATCTGTATATCTTTGTTCTCTGCTTTTGTTTCTACTTTGCTACATTAAATACATTACACCCCCTCATACAGATATAAATAGAATCCCATCTACTCGCTCTCCAATCCAGACACAGCACCGACAGTTTGGAAAACTCATCGAGAAACCTCGTCACTACTAGCATTTTCTCACTTGCTCCTAGACTTTTAGAGCTTTTTGAGACATAGTTAATCTCCCTTAATGAGGTAACTAGGTCAAGAAGCCCTTCAACCTTTAAAGAAAGCATTTCCAAAATACACAGTGCAGAGCCTGCACTGTACTAGGTGCTGGGCACACAACGGGGAGGAGCAGAAAACCTGGGTCCAAAGGTTAGCTAATCACAGTGGGTTTCTATTGACTTTATAATTGCTAGAAAGTTGAATCACCATTATCTATCTTCATTGGGTTCTGAATTAATGAGAAAATTATCAACAGAGCTTAGGTCCACTTAGAACATCCTTTCTCTACAGGAGGGTTCCCAGTTGGCTTATCTTAGAACAACTTACATAGGCAGTTTGGGAAAAGGGACTCTTGGAAGCCTGGAGAGCAGCAGTCTGACAGGCCACTTGCTTTACAGAAGTGTGAGGGTTTGTAAAGAAAGGTCCACAGTAAACAGGAGGGAGACACATCGACTGCAAGGCAGGTCTGCTTGCCGTGCTCTGTCCCACTCTATCTGCTCACACTATACATAATCCTGTTTGTATTTCTAATCTACTATTAAAGAAAAATATATGTGCAGAGTTCACAAAGACAAAAGCCAAGAACACACAAGCTCCACACCCCTGTTGGGGCATTTCAGGAAAGAAATGGACAGGATCTAGTAAGTCCTCTAATGGGAAGGAAGAGCCACAGGGAAGCTGCTGATATTCAGGAGGCTCTCCAGGTAAATCTAAGGTCAGAAAATCAGATACTCTAGGTTAAAATGGGGTTCTCTGTCCGCAACAACAACACTGGCAACTCTTGTTTAGCTTGTTCTAGTCTCTTTGTCTGGACTTGTACATGGCTTTCTACAGGACATGTAAAAATC